AAACAAAAGCCAGCGAGCTTTGCCAGAGCATCCATGTATACTGGACACAGGCCACACCCCCAAGGAAACACTCCTTACAACTGACTGGCTGCTCATATCAGATCTCATCTTGGAGGTGATTACATTATGTCAGATCTCATCTTGGAGGTGATTACATTATAACAGATCTCATCTTGGAGGTGATTACATTATGGAGGAGCAATCAATCCAATGTCTGCCAAATTACCTCATTACATACCTGCCAAACCACTAAGAATCATGGCCCAGCCAAGCTGACACATAACCTTAACCATTACAGCGGCCAAGTGTTTAAAAGGCATAAATTAAGCACAATTGTTTTTAAATAGAATCCTAATATAATCAGTCAGAAATAGTTAAGCCACCATGGCAGGAGAGAGGGTTAATACCTAGCTCTCTTCAGAAACTTATTAAAACAATTTTCCCACAGGTTTCTAGACATTGTGAACTTGTCTCAGTTCACAAACCTTTCACCCAGCCTCTGGAAGAAGGACTGGGCATAGTTAGAACAACACTAGAACCGAATTCCGGTACAGGCTCTGTGACCAAACAATGTTTGACCTCAGACAGTTAATTAAACTCTCATGCAAATATAGATCTTAGCCCAGATTATCTGAAAGCCCTCACATTTCTCTAGTACTTTACGGTTCAAAGGCAATCCTCTGAATCCTAGGATTAAGCCCTCTTCCATTAGAAAACTAGTGACTGCTACCTCGTCTGCCTGCTTGTTCACACGGTGCTCGGTCCCTAGACTTTAAGGTTCCAGTGTTGTCATCAGTTAAGGCCAATGATTTCGTAAAAGAACATTATAACTTTTCCTAAGACCAAATTACTTGAAACTTCTGGACATCCTTTAGCAGTTTCCCTAAGCTTTTAGCAATTTTTTTTTTTTAAATCACCAAAGTCAGGGTTTACACCAATATAATATTTGGGGGAGAAATCATAGAAAACACTGGAACTGAGAAGCTAACGGCAAAGTGGGGTGATGGTGAGGAGGTAAGCACGTGGGTAAACTAAAATTACAAACCAAACTAACTATAAGGGCAAATTTAATACTCTCACATTATAAAGAAACAGCCACATTAAAAATGTTTTTAAAGTCTATCCGTATGTCACCTGTGGAAAAATCTAGCTAGCTGTAAAAGATACATTAGAATAAAAACGTGAACCTATGATACAATATTAGAACACAATATTCTTATCACACTGCTCTGTTAGTTCTGTAAACTTCAACATAGTATCCATTAACAATTTCCTCAGAACTATTTACTCTAAAATGAAAAAAAGATTGCTCCTATATCTTTTTTGATACTTTTTTTTCTAATTCTAGGAACGCTTTTAATCTTTTAATTTTTCGTTTCAATTTCAACATTTTAGAAATGTTAGGAGGCACCCATCTTCTTTGCTCGCCAAAGTTACTTAAGAACCTACTATATGACATTTTTTGGTGCTCCATGAATATATGACATTTTTGGGGGTTCCATGAATATATGATATTTTTTGGTGTTCCATGAATATATCACATTTTTTGGTGTCCCATGAATATATCACATTTTTTGGTGTCCCATGAATATATCACATTTTTTGGTGTTCCATGAACTTGCTTAAACAACACACCTCAATAATGGTGATTTATCATTTTCTTCCAAAAATCTTTCCAGAGCGCAGAAAAACTTACCAATTTATTTTTAAAAATTCTTTCCGACACAACATTTTGTCCTCTTACAAAACAATCTATTGCTTCTAACGCTGGTAACAATCATTCAAGTTTCTTTTCATATTTTTAAGATTCTTTAGTTGCTTCATTTTTTTCAAGAATCTTCCAACAATCTATGTAAGTGGGGGGAACAGGTAAAAAGTCATAAAATTCAGTGCTTGGCAACAGCAGCCGTTCCTAAAAGATGTAGCAGGGAGCTCATTTGCTAGCCAAGTGCTATTAAAAAGGCACATATGTCTTTGCTTACGATTATTTTCATTTAAAAAAAAAGAAACAAAAAAATCAGGTATTCCATTTGAAATAGGCCCTGCTTAGAGTGACTTGGCATTTTTTGTACTTGGGCCAAATCAATGTAGTGAAGATATGAACACAACTGCTGGTTTCTTTCTCTTTTACTAAGTACTTTTAGGGTAAAAATGACAAAAATATTTACCCCTGCATTCAAATAAAAAATATTATTGAGCACCTTTTATGAGTGTCAAGCGCTGTTCTAGTCACCAGACTAATGATTAAGACAAAGTCTTTGTCCTCAATGATCTTACATTCTCATTGAGGAAAGAGAACTAAAGAAACAGACTGTATTTTAAACAGAATGCTCTAGAAGGTCTCTGGGAAATTAACATTTAAGCTGAGAGAAACCTGAATAGTGATAGACAGCCCATGCAAAAGTGTGGGGAAAGTGTTTTAGGAAAGAGAAAGGGCAAAGATCTTAAGGTGGAAATGAACTTGGCATGCTCCAGGATTATGAAGTTGGAGAGCTAGTCAGTGGCCAGATCCTGAGGGGACCTGAAAAGCCTGCTAAGAACTTTGGATATCATTCAAATACAACGGGAAGCCACTGGACAGATGTAAGCAAGGGATTGCAATTAACCTGGCTGCTGTGCTGAGCACAGCGGAAGAGTGGAGCACAGAGACTAACTGGGGGCTGTTAACTGGGAGGTACAGCAGAGACGATAGTGGTCTGAACTATGGGGGGGCTGGTGGTCATGGTGGAAGTTTTCAGACTCTGAATATATTTTTGCTGATGGGTTGGTTGTAGTGTTTAAGAGGAAAGAGTCAATTATGACTCCAGGGCTTCTGATCTGAGTAGATAGGTAAGTGGCACTGACTGAAGCAGAGAACTTGCAAGAGGAGCAAGTTTTAGGAGAAAAGCAGGGCTTTGCTCTGGGACATGTCAGTATGAGATACCTAGAAGACATTCAAGCAGAGACTTGAGAAACCCAAGTTTGATACTTGAAGTCTGGAGTTCTGGGGACAAGTTAGGGCTGACAATATAAATTTGGAAGTCATCAGCATTTAGATGGTATTTAAAACCACAGGACCGGCTGAGGTCTCCTCACGAAAAAGGGTAACTAGAAAAGAGAAGAGGCCTGAGGACAAGGTCATGCGCCAACACTCAGTCTGTGATGACAAGCAAGGTTCAGCAGCAGAAACTGAAAAGGCACGGCCAGGGAACCAGTGAGAAAGCTGGCAAAGGTCAGTGTCTTCCACACAAAATTAAAGTGTGGCAAGAAAAAGGGAGTGATCATCTCCCCAACTGCTCCAGTGCCCACTACATGCAACCATTTGTCTTGGCAACTTGAAGACCATCAGTGATGAGGACTTTGAGTGGTGTGGACGAAAGCCTAGAGGAAGTGGGTTCCAAACAAAACAGGGTACGCAGAAATGGAGACGAGAAGCCTAGACAATTTTACGCTTTTAGAAGCTGATCACTTAGCTGAAAAGGACACGACGCTGGGCGAAGCCTTCCCCTACCCTCCTATACAGGGCACTATGCCAGGCATCTTCCTAAGTAAAATGTCATTTAACTTTTCAACCACTCGGGGAAGTACGTATATCATTTATCTCTTTTAAAATGAAAAACGAGATCCAGAAGGGTTAAATTAACTTGCCCTGTGTTATAACAGCAAGTCACAAGGATTCAGTCCACATCTATCCAGTTCTAAAACTATTTTCTGTTGCTTTCTCATTGAGGAAACTCACTTCTTAGGAATCATGAAATGGAACTGCCATCTACTTCAGGGTTCCTAGTGTTACTCATTCCTTGGAAACCCTCTGGGGCAGTCCTACTCTGTCCTATAGGGTCCCTATGAGTTGGAATCGACTCAACGGCAATGGATTTTTTTTTTTGCTTTGAGTGTTACTCACAGCGCAGTGGTTAAGTGTTCAGCTGCTAACCAAAAGGCTGGCAGTTAGAGTCACCAGCTGCTCCTTGGAAACCCCATGGGGCAGCTCTACTCTGTCCTACAGGTGGCTGTGAGTCAGAATCAGTGTGACAGCAACGGGCTTAGTGTTACCCACGGGCTATTTCCTCCAGGTTCCAATACTTCAGTATTATCATTATTAAAATTTAGAAACTTCGTTTTGCTCTTAAATATTTCATTTACTATACTAAGTAAATCCAGATAATGCAAATGCCTACAGGGATTAGGCATGGAACGTGAATGAAGAAAGGGCCAGGATCACAGCAAACTTGTGAAGACACACCCAAGTCTAAAAAGGTCACCTGTTACTACACTCTACAGGTTATATTACCAGGCCATTTGATTTTTTAAGACAAACAGGAAACCTACATTTTTCATGTGAAATTACCAATTTTTTTTTTATATTGCCAATTCTAAAATTTTACAAACATTGGTAAGCCAATCAAATACCATTTGCAGGCCACATTTGGCCAATGAGTACCCACCAATTTGTGGTCTTTTCAAGTATTAAGTATCTTCTCTTACTAAGTGCTTTTCTTTAGACAGTGCTACCAAACGAATAACATGCGTGTCTTTAGGAATTGTGTGTAAGACATGCTACAATAATAGAAAACACCTGGCACCTGAGTGCCAATCCAAAGTAAATGAAAATTCCATTTCTATAGTTTCTCAAAAATAACCACAACTATAGCTAGCGCCGACAAGAATTACAAAGATGAGCGGGCACAGTGTCCAATTTAAAGAAACTTGTATGTAGTTGGGAACGGGAAAGTAGTAACCCAATAACAAAGCAAATTAGGAATGTGCCATAACAGAGGAAAAATTTATCGTCCCAGGAGAAAAATATGTCACCGTTACAACTGATAGCTTTGGAAATGTAGATTTAAAAAAAGAATGAACCCAAAAATTATTCTAAACACTCACAAAGGGAAGACAATCAAAGAAAGAAAATACAACTGAACTGCATAAACAGGATAAAAATGTCAAACCTGTGAAATGAATTACAGATCTGACATAGAAGGTACTACATATTTTAGGGAAAAAAATCACAGCAAACGCACCAAGGCCATATCCCTCGTACCGCTGGCGCTCACGCTCCATCGTCTGCTTGATAGCGGTCTCCCGGGAAAAGTGTCGCCTTCCCTGCCTGTCTTTGATGCTGTTATGTAACTCAATCTGCTCCAACTCACTGCAGAATCGATCTAAATAGCTGAAAAATAAGACGACGATCTTAGTTACCAAGTCTGCACTTCGGACTGACTTCCCGGCCTTTGCCTGTCCTTTAAGTTTCTGTATTTCTCTGGGTTCCTCCAGCCCCCCAGCCTCTTCAACCCTTCCCTGATAACTCAATCACTTCCAAAATTTCAGTCACCAAATCGCTACTTGCTCCCAAAATATCTGTTAGCCCCAGACCCTCATATTCAGCCACCATCTGGATGTTCCCTAGAGGTCTCCCCTTCAGCACATCAAATGTGAACGCACCGTCCCCTTCCTGGCCTCCCTCCACCCCACGAGCCTGCTCTGTCCCCAGGGCTCTGTCTCAGGAATGGTGTGATCATTCACTCAGTCACCCACGTGGGCAATGTCGGTGTCATCCTCGACGCCTCCCTCTCCCTTTTTCCCACATCTAGCTTTGCAGTAAAGACTGAGGCTTCCACCTTCTTAATGCCTCTGGAATCTATCTATTTCTCTTCACTACAGTGACTACCCAGGCCATGGCACCGCCAGCTCCGCCTGGGGTGCTCCACAGCCTCGCCGCAGCCTCCTGGCAGGGGCCTGCTCCCCTCAGCACATTCTCCTCACGGGCACTCCTGTCATCTAACTGGGAGAGGCCGTCACCTCAGGCGCCCGCCGTAAAAGCCTCCCACGGCCTCCAGTGTCTTCCAGAATAAAGTCCAAACTCCTAGCCTGGGCCAAGGTCTTTCCTGAGGTGTGAGTCACTTCTTTCCTTGAACCTGTCATTTTGGTCACAGTAACTGTCTGGCCGATCACTAAATGCATCACCACCTGGAGCTCCCCTTTAGGCCTTTTAGATACCTTACCCTCTGCCCAGAGGCTCTTGAACCTACCTGACCTCCATCTGCTCATCCCTACCCTTAGGGTGTCGGTTTAGATGTCCCTTCTTCCAGGAAGCCTTTCCTGATGCCATAAAACTGGATTAACTACCATTCTGAGGCCCAGGAAGGTTACAAACCTTCCCAAGTAGCTGAGGCAGGACGTGGGTCCAAAGCTTCTCTGATAACCAAGCCCATTTGCTCCACTGCACATCCGGAACAGGACTCTGTCTCCTAGAGAATCACAGTGGAGAACTCCCTTTCTGACCCTCTGTTCATAACACACCCACTGCTTACCTTTCAGTCAATGCACAAGCGTCTTTCTTTGAATAGGCTACTTTTTGGGGATCCAGGTGATTCTGAAACCACTGCAGTTTTTCACCTATAAACAACAGTTTAACACGAGTCATCATTTAAGCAAAGAGGTATTCACTGTACTTCTCAACATTAATGTGTTTAAAACAGGACCAAAATTTATCTCAACGTTAAATATAAAGACTGTGTGGCTCAAAGGTGACGACCGTCAGTCTGTCAGAAGTTAAGACTGTCACATTTCAATGTTGGGGAGAGACGGGGTGGCAGGGGTGCTCTGCTGTGTGTATTTCTCATCCGATATGAAGGCAAAAACATAACTACACTAACAAAGAACAGAACATGAAGCCCTAAGTATTTAAAACGCAAAGGATAGAATATCTCTAAAATAATTAGACATTAAAAAACTATGAAAACTTGATTAGGTGAATGATGGAAATGGCACTTCCTGAACGCTTAACCAGCAGCAGACATGATGCCGGGGCCTGACAGTCCTACAAAGACGGGCGCCACTACCAGCCCCTCTGACAGAGGAGGGAGGGAAAGGAGCCCGCCCACGGCCACGGTCAGTCAATATATTACGCACACAGGATATGCTACCAAAGCGCTTACAAGCCTTATCCCGAGAAGTAAACGTCACACTTCCAGATAGAGTTCTCAATACTGTACATCAAGAAACGGTCCTAATCAGCACCCTGTATCTCCTTCTGAAATACTATTCTATCACCTGACAAAGCATCAGAGACAAAGGTTCAAATGCCTTTTATTTTAGCAATAATCCCTAACTGTCACTGTTTCAAAATCTCAGGATTGTCAGTAAGGATTGACTAACAATAACTTTGACCCAAAAGAGACCAGACACTGATATCCAGACTGACTACTGTGCCCGTCAATCTCAGACATCCTTATGCTTAGAGGGCTACGCATTAAACTACACCCACACAGATACGGCTATGGATACCGCCTGTCTACATGTATCTACACCCACATACGTTACACCAAATGGCATCTGAAAAACTGAGATACAAATCACTCACAGTTTATACAAAAGTTTAAGGATTGACTTTTTTGTTTTGGTTTGGCTTAATCAAATCTGATAAAGAAAATTCACATCTATAAAACTTGTATTTTACTAGCAGAGTTTAAAGAAAAGAAAAACAGGGAAGGGGCAGAACCTCACATGCTCCAGCCTGAATTTCAAACAGGTAAATCCACTTACCAATGATGTTGAGACGCAAGGCCTTTTCATTCTTCAATCTTGGAAGAAAAAGTGTATGCATGTTAGAAAATTTTTAAAGAAATTTTTAAAAATCAGTCAAAAACAACAAAAAGGAAAAACTGCTCAAAGAGCTTTAATTCCAAGCTCACTCTTTCACATTTAGGAAATTCGTTTTTGAACACAGATACATTGAACGTCATGGAAACAGAAGTGCTATTATAAACTTTTTTAACTCTTTAATGACTAAAGGAAGTCTATGGGACAAACCAGTTTTGAAATCACAAATGAAAGTTTGACTGGATTAAGAATGAATATTCAGGTGTTTTTTGTAACGACGAAATATGCAGGATATTTGTGCACAAAAGAGTAATGAATACTCTTCACAGTACTGAATGTCGCCACCAAAACGCACCACCGTTATCTTCGTGACTTCAACAAGAACAAAACAGAACTACTCTTTATGAATGTGAATTATAACAAACAAAATAACTAATTTACTCTCAAAAAGCAGCCTAGGAAAGATACTAATCATTCGCAAGAGGCCTCTGGATGCCTGCTCTCTGCCAGCACTAATGCCAGCCCCGGGAGCTACAGCAGTGAACTAAGCTCAGCTGTCCTGGCACTAACAGAGCTTACAATCCAGAGGCGGTAAGAACGTAGAGAAGCTTACAGATCCATGGCAGCATACTAAAAAAGTGCCTACAGGACACTTTCGGATCCAAGAAGGTTTTCCAGAGCAAGTAAATTTTAAGCTGACACTCGAACATGCAGAGAAGTCATTCAGGACAAAGAGGGGATGCAGAGCATGGGAACAGAAAAGACAAACATGTTAGCTAAAGGAGAAGGCTTTGTACATAGAAGTGCACTGGACTTCCAGTCGTAAAGAAATAAATAAGCACACCAGACTTATCTTCCCACTTTAAACAACTAGAAAACTAGAAAAATAAAATGAAGATTTTTTTAAATAAAAACTTTTTAGTCACGGAATGGGATAAAATATTCACAATACAAATAACTAACAAAGGACTTGTACCCAGAATATATTAACAGCTTTTACCACTCAAAAAGAGACAAACCAATAACAAAACGGGCAAGATTTGACCAGATTCTTCATCAAATGCCTGCAAATGACCAATAGGCACACAAAAATGCTAACATCATCAGTCATCAAGAAATGCAGATTAAAACCACAGAGACACCACTACACACCGGTCAGAGCGGCTAAAATGGACGAGACCAATAATACCACATGCCAGAAAGGATGTGGAGCAACTGTGACTCTCATTCACTGGTGGTGGGAATATAAAATGGTGCTATCACTTCGGAATACACAAGTTCTCATATACTTAACGTAGCCCTACTATACCACCCAGCCATTTTCATAAACTTAATCTCTTACAAACTCAATTTCTTATATACTTAAACATACACCCATCATATAACGTAGTTCCCGATCCCAGCAGTTAGGAGATAAAAACATAAACCTACACAAACTCTTGTACACAAATGTTTATGGCAACTGCCTTTAAGAATACAGTTAATAACACAGAAAATAAAAATGAAAGCATTCTCATTAAGGTAGACAATATGTGAATGTGATTTTTAAAGAGAAAACATTTTTTAAGTCATAGACATACATAAACAAATGGGCACAACTATTTTCAAATGAAACTTTATTTTACGTAAAAACAGGTGGCTGGCCCTGTAATTTGCCAGCCTCAGGTAACAGTCAGAAACTGGAAACCACCCAAATGTCCATGATAAATTACTGGTATAGTCATACAATGGAATAGTACTCAGCAGTAAAAGGGAAGGACAACTAACAACTGCAAGACTGAAGTTAGGTGTCAGTTGCAATAATCCTGAATGGACTCGCTGCGGCCTGAACTAGAGTGGTAACAACTGGAATAAAGGAAAGTAGACAGACTTGAGAATTATCTAAAACTGTAACTGAATGTAAACATGGAAACATTAAGACAGAATTAACGTGTGAATGAAGGAACCCTGGTGGCGCAATGGTTAAGTACTTGGCTGCTAACCCAAGGTCCGTATTTCAAACCCACTCAGCTGCTCCGTGGGAGAAAAGACCTGGAGATCCGCTCCTGTAAAGATTACAGCCTAGGAAATCCTGGGGCAGCTCTACTGTCACATAAGGTCATCATGAGCCAGAACTGACTCGACGGCACACAACACCGTGCGGACGTGATGTTTAAAAAGGAGACATTTTTAAGTGAGGAGATCCAACTATATTAATTCTCAAAGGCAGTTATTTCCTACATTCTTGCCCCTAATGCTTAGTTTCTCTGTTAATTTCCATACTGAGTCGTTTTCATCTGGTATCTAGAGTTCCTCGCTATGCACCCAGCAGGACAAGAGAGGTCGGTGCACAGCAACAAAATACCGCTCAGGTGAGAACATCATAAAGTCAAAATCACGTCACATACAAAGGCATGCTCACCCATGAACTGTGCATCACCTGGAATGTGCTCATCTTCAAACCACACTAGTTTCTTATGAACAGACGCGCTATTTCATACAGTTCTAGAGCAGAGCTTTTCAAACGCTGAAGACGTAGCGCTCCTTTGACATCACACCCTAGTGTTGCTATTCCCCTTTGCAGCATCTTTACATAAACAGAGTCCTTCATTAAAAGTCAATCCCTACCTACCACTGGTCACGAGGCACAGTACTCTAACCCTCCCTGTCCTCCCCCTACCTCTCCTTCACCCCAAAACAAAACCCCAGAAGTGACACAAAGAATCCTGAGTTCTGTGGAAAAGTTCGGCAAGCGGACACTCCAGGTAACCTGGCTTCCTTGGTTCCCTAGAAAACTCACTTGGATCTGAGGACTAGACAAAGTATCTTCAGTAGGCAGATACCTCTAAAAGATGGTGCTATCCAAGCACACGTCTGTCAGTTTGTCCTACTGTGGGGCCTGTGTGTTGCTGTGATGCTGGAAGCTGTGCCACCGGGATTCAAATACCAGCAGGGTCACCCATGACAGACAGGCTGCAGCGGAGCTTCCAGACGAAGACAGACTAGGATGGAAGACCTGGCGGCCTGCTTTTGAAAAAAGAGGCCATTGAAAACCTTACGAATAGCAGCAGAACACTGTCTGATAAAGCGCCGGAAGATGAGCCCCTCAGGTTGGAGGGCACTCAAAGACAACTGGGGAACGGTGCCTCTTCAAAGCAGTCATCCCTAATGACACAGATAAGAAAAGCTTTCGGGATCTTCATTTGCTGATGCGGCACAACTCAAAATGAGAAGAAACAGCTGCAAATATCCATTAATAACTGGGAACACAGAACGTACCAAGTAAGAATCTAGGAAAATAAGAAGTCATCAAAAATTAAATGGAACCTAACAAGATCAATATCCTAGGCATTAGTGAGCTGAAATGGACTGGTACTGGCCATTCTGAATCAGACAATCATATGGTCTACTCTGCTGAGAATGACAAATTGAAAAGAAACGGCATCACATTCACTGTCAGAAAGAACATGTCGAGATCTATGCTGAAGCGCAACACTGTCAGGGGTAAGCCAATATCCATATACCTACAAGGAAGACCAGATAACACAACTATTACTCAAATTTGCATAGCAACTGCTACTGCCAAAGGTGAATAAACTGAAGATTTTTTATCAATTTCCGCAGTCTAAAATTGATCACACATGTAATCAAGACGCATTGATAATTACTGGTGATTGGAATGTGAAAGTTGGAAACAAAGAAGGAGGATCTGTAGTTGGAAAATGAGGCCTTGGTGACAGAAACAACTCCGGAGATTATATGACGGGAGACTAATTCATTGCAAATACCTTTTCTCAACAACCTAAATGGTGACTATCCTCCTAGAGTCACCAGATGGAATACACAGGAATCAAACTGACTACATTTGTGTAAAGAGATGATGGAAAAGCTCAATATCATGAGTCAGAACAAGGCCCGGGGCCGACTGTGAGACAGACCATGAACTGCTCATATGCAAGTTCAAGTTGAAACTGAAGAAAATTAGAACAAGCCCACGAGAGCCAAAGTACGACCTTGAGTATATCCCACCTGAATTTAGAGACCATCTCAACAACAGATTTGACACTGAACATTAATGACTCAAGATTAGGCAAGTTGTGGGATGACATCAAGGACATCATACCTGAAAGAAGCAAGAGGTTGTTAAAAAGACAGGAGAGAAAGAAAAGACCAAAATAGATGTCAGAAGAGACTCTGACACTTGCTTTTGAATGTCGAGTAGCTAAAACAAAAGGAAGAAATGATGAAGTAAAGGAGCTGAGCAGAAGATTTCAAAGGGCGGGCCAAAGAGACAAAGTAAAGTATAATACTGACATGCACAGAGACCTGGAGATAGAAAACCAAAAAGGAAGAACACGCTCGGCATTTCTCAAGCTGAAAGAACTGAAGAAAAAATTCAAGCCTCGAGTTACAATCTTGAAGGATTCTATGGGGAAACTATTGAACAACACAGAAAGCCTCAAAAGAAGATGGAAGGATACACAGAGGCACTATACCAAAAAGAACTGGTTGACATTCAAACTTTTCAGGACATACCATATGATCAAGAACCAGTGGTAATCAAGGAAGAAGCCCAAGCCGAACTGAAGGCACTGCAAAACACAAGGTTCCAGGAATTGATAGCATACCGATTGAGATGTTTCAATGAACGGATGCAGTGCTGGAGGTGCTCACTTGTCTATGCTAAGAAATTTGGAAGATGGCTAGCTACCTGGCCAACCAACTGGAAGAGATCCATATTTATGCCTTCCAAAGAAAAGGTGATCCAACAGAATGCGGGAATTATCGAACAATATCATTAACATCACACACAAGTAAAATTTTGCTGAGGATAATTCAAAAACAGTTGCAGCAGTATATCAACAGGGAACTGCCAAAATTCCAGCCAGATTCAGAAGAGGGCATGGAACAAAGGATATCGTTGCTGATGTCAGATGGATCCTGGCTGAAAGCAGAGTATACCAGAAAGATGTTTGCCTGTGTTTTACTGACTATGCAAAGGCACGGCACTGTGTGGTCATAACAAATTATGGATGACATTGTGAAGAATGGGAATTTCAGAACACTTAATTGTGCTCATGAGGAAGCTCTACTTAGACCAAGAAGCAGTCGTTCAGACAGAAAAAGGATACTGCCTGGTTCAAAATCAGGAAAGGTATGCGTCAAGGTTGTATCCTTTCACTATACTTATCCAATCTGTATACTGAACAAATCTGAGAAGCTGGACTGTATGAAGAAGAATGGGGCATTAGAAATGGAGGAAGACTCAATGACAACCTCTGATATGCAGATAACACAATCTTGCTTGCTGAAGGCGAAGAGGACTTGAAGTATTTACTGATGAAGATCAAAGACTACAGCCTTCAGTATGGATTACACCTCAACATAAAGAAAATAAAAATCCACAGAACTGGGCCAGTAAGCAAAATCATGATAAATGGAGAAAAGACTGACATTGTCAAGGATTCCATTCTACTTGGATCCACAATCAACATCCATGGAAGCAACAGTCAAGAAATCAAATGACATACTACATTGGACAAATCTGCTGCAAAGACCTCTTTAAAGTGTTAAAAAGCAAACACAGCACCTTGAAGACTAGGGTGCGCCTGAACCAAGCCACGGAATTTTCAATCACCTCACATGCATGAGAAAGCTGGACTACGAATAAGAAAGACCAAAGAAGAATTGATTGATGTTTTTGAATTATGGTGTTGACAAAGAATACTGAATATACCACGGACTGCCAAAAGAACAAACAAACCTGTCTTGGAAGAAGTGCAGCCAGAACGCTCCTTGGACGCGAGGATGGCAAGATTTCACCTCACATACCTTGGACATGTTATCAGGAGGGACCAGTCTCTGGAGAAGGACATCATGCTTGGTAAATGTCTTAGGCTGGGTTCTCTAGAGAAGCAAAACCAGTAAAGCATCCACATACGTATATATATATAGAGAGAGAGAGAAAGACTTATATCAAGGAAGTGGCTCACTCGTTTGTAGAAGCTGGAAAGTCCCAAGTCCGTGAGTCAGGCTGGAGGCTTCTCCTGACTCACATAACTGCAGGGGCTAGTGAACCCAAGATAGGCACATCAGACAACAGGCCTCTGGCTTACAGGCTGCAGAGGTCAACAAATGCCAAGATTGGCAAGTAAACTGCTAGCGCAAGTCCCAAGAAACAGAGGTCAGATGACGGGAGCCAGCTGCAGGATCCAGAACGACCAAAAGCTCACGAGCCTTGCGAGAAAGTCCACCTATACTGGATGCAAGCCACATCCCTAAGGAAACTTCCTTTCAACTGACTGGGTACTCACAACAGATCCCATCATGGAGGTGATCACATTATATCAGATCTCATCACGGAGGTGATTACATCAGTTTACAACTGCCGAACTATATCATAACTGTCAAACCACTGAGAATCATGGCCTGGCCAAGCTGACTCACAACCTTAATGATCAAAATGAAGTAGAGGATCAGTGAAAAAAAGGAAGACCCTTGATGAGATGGGCTGACACAGTAGCTGCAAAAACGGACTCAGACACAGCAACCACTGTGAGGATGGCACAGGACCAGGCAGTGTTTAGTTCTGTTGTACATCGGGTCACTATGAGTCATAGCCAACTCGACGGCACCTAACAACAACAAGACCGTTCCCAACGATTCTTGCCTCTTGATATTCATGTCCTTGTCCTGCTGAGTGCACATGGACCTAGTGATGTACTTCTAATAAAACAGTTCAACAGTGACAGATGTCATTCCAAAATGAGGTTACAAAAAGGCTGTCCTCCATCCTACCCTCTTCTCACTCTATCTCAGAGCCCTTACTCTGGTGTAAGCAAGCTGCTATGTTGCACCACTACGGAGAGGATAACATGCAAGAACACGGCTCTGGACACACCATGTAAAGGGATAAGGAGGCAAATCCTCCCCTTGATGAGCTCTGAGATGACTACAGTCCCAGCCAGCGTCCTGACTGTAGCCTGGCAAAAGACTGAACCAGAAGCACCCAGCTAAGTAGCCTCTGGATTCCTAACCCACAGACACTGTGAGACAGTATGTGTCTGTTTTTCAGGCTGCTAAGTTTTAGTGGAATTTTTTACACACCAATAGATAACTAACGCAGTATCTGGTAGCTGCTAACGACTTCCAAGAAGCCATAGGTGTCTGAAGTTCACACTAAGTCCTGCTGGCTCATTTCTATCATCTTACGTATAGTCCCAACCATCTGTCACCAACCATCTTTTGAAAACATGCAACTCTACGTTAATATTAGTTACATATAATTTACTGATTAAAGGTGTTTAAGGAAATCTCTGTCCGATCATTAGCAGACCACTAACAGAGCAGAAACTTCAATGGTCACACATGATAAAGAATGCAAACTTTACAAACTAAGTCCAGGAAAGTCACTAAGCAAACAAATAGTAACAACAAACCTGGGGGGGGGGGCAGTTAACAGAATTGCCACATTATATTACTTAAAATGTCCAGTTTGTCACAGAAGATTATGAGACACAAAGAAACAGGAAAGTATGGCCCATACTCAGAAATAAATAAAGCATACAACAGACACTATTCCTGTGGAAGCCCAGACTTGGATTTACCAGACAAAGAATTTAACCTGCCTTTTATCAATGTTTTCAAAGAACTAAAGGAAATCGTATTTACAGAATTAAAGGAAAGTATGAGAACGTTTCACCAAATAGAGAATATCAACTGAGAGATAAAAATTATAAAAATGAACCAAATAGAAATTCTGAAGTTGAAAAGTACAGTAACAGAAATGAAAAATTCACTAGAAAGTTTCAACAGCAGAAATTCTGGCAGAAGAAAGAACTTAAAGACAGGTGAATTGAAATTATCCAGTCTGATCAGCAGAATTAAAAAAAAAAAAAACAAGCAGAGCCTCAGAAACCTGTGGGAAACCACCACGTGTAACAATATATGCATAATGGGAGTCACAGAAGGAGAAGAGAAAGGGGAAGAAAGAGTATCTGAAGAAATAATAGCCAAAAACTTCCCAATCTGATGAAAATCTATACACCCAATAAGCTCAACAAACTCCAAGCAGGATAAATTCAAAGAGATCCACAAGTAGGCACACCATAGTTAAACTGTCCAAAGACAAACACAAAGAGAGAATCTTGAAAGCCTCAAGAGAAAAGTGACTCATCAGGTACAAGAAATCCTCAATAAGATTAACAGCTGACTTCTCTCACAGAAACCACGGGGGCCAGAAGACAGTGGGATGACATATTTAAACTGCTGGAAAAAGGCTGCCAGCTAAAAATTCTATATTCAGCAAAAGAAAAATGAAGGAAACATTAAGACATTCTCAGATAAACAAAACTAAAATAATTTGCTGCTAGCAGACCTGCCCTACAAGAAACACTAAAGAGTGTCCTTCAGGGTGAAATTAAAGAACACTACAATGTAACTCAAATTCACCTGAGAAATAAAGGGCATCAGTAAAGGTAATTACTTCAACCTGTTGCTGTCACTTTCGACTCATGGAGACTCCATGTGTTACAAAGTAGAACTACTCCATAGAGTTTTCTTGGCTATGATCTTTACGGAAGCAGGTCATCAGGTCTTTCTTCCGCTACGCCACTGGATGGGTTCAAACCATCAACCTTTAGGTTAGTAGTCAAGTGCAAACCATTTGGTAAATACAAAACCAAAAAAAAAAAACAAGTTGTCATCAAGTTGATTACGACTCATGATAACCCCAGGTGTGTCAGAGTAGAATGTACTCCATAGGGTTTTCAATAGCTGATTTTTTTAAAGTAGATCGCCAGGCCTTTCTTCCAAGGCAGCTCTGGGTGGACTCAAATTACCAACCTTTTGGTTAGCAAGCGAGCAAGTTAACCATTTTTACCACCCAGGTAACTATAAAGGCAATATACATACATTTTTGTTTCTAATACTTTTTTTCTTCTAATGTAAAAAACAAATGCATAAAGCAATAACTATAAAAACTGTGTTGATGTGCTTATAACATATAAAAATGTAATTGGGATGGGAGGAGATGGGAATGCAGCTACACTGAAGCAAATTTTTGTATGCCATTGAAAGTAAGACAATATACTCCAAACTAGATTAAAATAAGACGTTTACTGTAAACCCCAGGGCAACCACTAACAAAATAACTAAAAAAATACGTATAGTAAAAGAAACAAGAGAAATTACCACTCCAATAGTCCTCCTCCTAAGGTTACTGATGATCTCCACATCACTACATCTGATGGTCAGTACTCAGTCCTCATGGTGATCAACAGCGTATGACACAGGTTGATCACTTCTCTTTAAAGCATCACTGTCTTTTTCTTCCTTCTCATTTGCCACTCCTTCTCAGTCTCATTTGTTGGATCCTTCTCCTTATCCCAAACTCCATATAGTGGAGGGCCTCCAGCTTCAATCCTTGCCTCTCTTCTTGTCCCTGTATACATTTACTCCTAGTCTCATGGTTTAAAATCCCACTTCGATGCCGATGGCTCCCAAATTCATCTACCTCCCTAACCTATCCCTTGACCCCCAGACTTTACATGTCCAAACGTCGGTTCTATACCACCTTTGTATGTCCATATCTGCATAGCTCACCCCCTCAGGGACCTTTCATGGCCACCCTATATAAAACAGCATTTCTCCATCCCATAACTCTCTTTAAGTTTTCTTAGTTGCACTCATCACAACCTGCTATTTAAATTGATTTATCTGTTTTATGTAAGCTCTGTAAGACCACAGCCTATGCTCACTGTTTTATCCTCAGTGCTTCAAACATACTTAATACATAATTACTGAAGAAAGAGGGGAAAAGACACTGATGAAACTTACATGTTAGAAGGATAAATATATACATTGGCTTTTCACCAATGCCTAATGCAAATGATGAAAAGATACTTACTTTTCCTTTTTTTCCTGTTTGTGGGCCTCTCTCGTAATCTGAGCTGCTTTTCTACTATATGGATGGATGACCTTCTTTTCCCGTCCTCCATTTTTTGCCGTCAGTGCTTTAGGCTAAAAGTGTAGAAAAACACAGGACACATAGATTGTTGTTGTCAGGTGCCAGTGAGTGGTTTTCAACTCACAGAGACCCCATTTGACAAAGGAAGACTGTCCCATAGGGTTTTCTTGGCCGCAATCTTCACAGAAGCAGAGGGCCAAGTCTTTCTCCCATGGAGCAGCCACATGGGTTCAAACTGCCGAGCTTCTGGTTAGCAGCCGAGCATTTAACTGTTTCTAGCCCCCAGGGACTCCATACCTTATACTCAAACCAAAAAAACCAAACTCGTTGCTGTGGACTCAATTCCGAGTCCCAGACAAAGCAGGAGAAAAATGTAGAACAGAACTCAAATTCACGTAAAAAGACCAGCCTTAATGGTCTGACAGAGACTAGAGGAACCCCTGAAACAATGGCCCCTGGACAAACTGTTAACTCAGAACTAAAACCATTCCTGAAGCCCACTCTTCAGGCACAGATTAGACAGGACTATAAAACAAAAAATAATACATGTGAGGAACATGCTTCTTAGTTTAATCAGATATACGAGACCAAATGGGCAGCTCCTGTCCGGAGGCAGAATGAGAAGGCAGGAAGGGACAGGAACTGGTCAAAAAGACACAGAGAATCCACAGTGGAAAGAGGGAGTGTGCTGTCACCCTGTGGGGATTGCAACTAATGTCACAAAACAACATGTGTATAAATTTCTGAATGAGAAATTAACTTGAGCTGTAAACCTTCACCTGAAGCACAATAAAAAATAGAGGTGGTTTGCTTAACCAATTTTAGTGCTAAAATTGCACGATAAATATCTAAATGTTTACTTAATTTTTAAAAAGTAAAAATTTCTTCTCAGCTGAAGAGAACTTTGAAACAAAGACACTTTGAAGAATTTTTGCTTGTTCACCCACAAAATAGTCTACACTTTTTGCAGCGTGAGATCAGTGCTTTCTTCTACAGTACCGCCGGGTGGGTTTCAACTGCCAACCTTCTTGTTAGCAGCCCGACGCTTAATGGTTGAGCCACAGGGAGGCGTTGGATCGTGAAGTTGGTGGGAGAAGGACCTGGCATTCTGCCTGGTAAAGATTACAGTCAAGAAAACCCTATGGCGCACAGTTCCACTGTCCCACGGAATCACTGAGTCGGAATCCACTCAACAACACCCAACAACAAGTGGATTTAGATTAGCATTAAATAAAATATTTGAAGCACTCCAAAAAAAACTAAATGAAACTAAAAGCCTATGAATTTCTCTTTTAAAAAGTTGGTCTATCCCTCCACATTCTAAATTCAGTTCCCATTAAACCACATTTAAGCATAACAAAGGGAACCATACAAATCTAGAGGAAACAAGCAGTTTTTTGCTTGTTTTGTGAACGAATCTCACAGTGAGGAAGGTCTTCCCACGCACTGACAAAGATAAAAAATTAACAACCAGTGAGGCTGGGGGTAGTTAGCCGTCTCACATATCACAGGAGGTTCAAATTGGTATAATCTTTCCAGAGGGCAATTTGACAGTTTCTATCAAGATAAAAATTGCATGTGCCTTTTGACCAAGGAATTCCACTTACAGTATTTTATTCTACATAGTTCAACATATACAAATAAGTAAGAACACCACTCAATGCAGAAGTCCCTATAGTAGCAAAATAATGGAAATAGCTTACATGTCTACTAGGAGTCCAGTTAAATAAATTACAGTGAAAAGCAAACATTATCATCAGCTGTTTAAAACACACACACACACACACACACACACACACACACACACACACACCGATCTCTGAGATCAAGTAAGGTGAAAAAAAGCAAGCGGCATAAGCATTTGTCTTCTGCACTATTTATATAAAAAGGGGGGCTGGGGACATACATGTATGGTGGCACATGTATATAAAATACTTCTGAATGGCTAGCTAAGAAACTATTAACAGTGGCTGTTTCTAAGAAAACGATTAGGCAACAGAGCAGGAGGGAAGTTTACTTTGGGTAGCAGGAAGAATAATGGCCTCCCCAAAGAAGTCCACATCCTAACCCATGGAACCTGTGAATCTGCTACCTTACATGACAAAAGGGACCATGCAGGTGTGATCAAGTTAAGGATCCTGAGACAGGAAGATTATCCTGGATTACGTGGTGGGCCTCATGTGAGTACAAAGTCCTTGTAAAAGGCAGGCTGCAAGGTCAGAATCAGAAAAAGGAGATGAGGACAGATGCAGACTCACGAAGAGAACTGAAGCTGTGCCGCTGCTGGCTTTGAAGATGAAGCCAGAGGCCAGGGGCCAAAGAATGCAGGCTTCCTCCTGACACCCAGGCGGCAACGAAGCAGATTCTCCCCTGTAGCTTCTTGAAGAAACAGCCCTGTTGACCCCTTGATTTTAGCTCAGTAAAGCCTCATTTTCTGACTGGGACCAACAGATATGTTACATTAAATTTGTGTTGTTTGAAGCCACTAAGCTTGTATTAATTTGTTAAAGCAGCAATAGTAAACTAGTACTCTTCTCATGGGCACCCATTTTACTGTTTTGGCTTCTTTTTAAACCATGTACATGTAATATTGTTCCCGAAAAAAGGCTGGCAGAGTAGTAGATTTTCACTAACATTTTTCCTTAGATTCACTACTGTCAGGAGCAAGTTTTTACGAGCAGGTAATCCTAACGAATATGGAGGTAGTCAGTACTGCTTCACGCTCACAGTAATGTGCAAGGATAAATCTAACGATGATGGCTCATCTGTCAATGGTTTACAACGCAGCTTCAGCACAGACTGAACTGAGGTGAAAGGGCACAACCCTGACGCACCCTTCCCATTTTAAACCACACAGTATCCCCTTGTTCTGTTTGAACAACCGCCTCTAAATCTATGCACGCTTCACACGAGCAATATTAAGTATTCTGGAATTCTTATTCTTCATAATGTTATCCATAATTTGTTATGATCCACACAGTCAAATACATTCACATAGTTGATAAAACACAGGTATACATCTTTCTGGTATTCTGTGTTTTCTGCCAAAATCCATCTGATATCAGCAATGACAGCCCTAGTTCCATGTCCTCTTCTGAATCCAGCTTGAATTTCTGGCAGTTCTCTGTCATATACCTATAGCCACTTTTGAATTGTCTTCAGCAAAATTTTGTTAGCATATGATATCAATGATATTCTTTAATAATTTCCATATTCCATTTGATCACCTTTCTTTGGAATGGGCACAAGTATGGATTTCTTCCAGTTAGTTGATCAGGTAGCTGACTTCCAAATTTCTTGACACAGACGAGTAAGGGCTTCCAGCACTGCATACGTCTGCTGAAGCATCTCAACGGGTATTCTGTTGATTGCTGAAGACCTGTTTTTCATCAATGCCTTCAGCGTAGCTTGAACTTCTTCCTTCAATAACATAGATTCTTGATCATATGCTACCTCCTGAAATGACTGAACAAATAATGGGAGAAGTTGTGCTATATGAAGAACGGGGCATCAGAATTGGAGAAAGACTCATTAAAAACCTGCGATATGCACGACACAGCCTTGCTTGCTGAAAATGAAGAGGACTTGAAGCACTTCCTGATGAAGACCAAACACTACAACCTTCAGTATGGATTACGCCTGAATGTAAAGAAAAGAGAAATCCTCACTAACGGACTGATAGGTAACGCCGTGATAAATGGACAAAAATTGAGGTTGCCAAGGATTTAATTCTACTTGGATCAACAATCAATGTCCTTGCAAACAGCAGTCAAGAAATCAAAGGACACATTCCACTGGGCAAATCTGCTGCAAAAGAACTCTTCAAGTTCTAAAACACAGGGATTTCACATTGATGACTAAGGTGTGCTTGAGCTTGTCAATCGCCTCATATGCAAATGAAAGCTGGACAATGAAAAAGACAGAACTGTCGTAGTGGAATTGTGGTGTTGGCGAAAAATATTGAGTATATCACAGACTACCAGAGAAGGAACGAATCAGTCTTGAAGAAATACAACCAGAATGCTCCTCAGAAGTGAGCATGGTTTAAGACTTTGGCTCACTTACTTTGGACACCTTCGCAGGAAAGATCAATCACTAAAAAAGGATATCATGTTTGGTAGAGGGTCAGAGAAAATAAGGGAAACCTTTACTGAGATGGACTGACACAGAAATCACAACGGACTCAAACATATGAATGACCACGACGGTGGCAGAGTATAAGGCAATGTTCTGTTGTTATATTATTGTTGTTGTTAGTGCTGTTATGTGCTATCGAGTCGGTTCTGACTCATGGCGACCCTACAGGACAGAGTAGAACTGCCCCATAGGGTTTCCAAGGAGTGCCTCGTGGATTGAAACCGCTGACCTTTTGGAGTCTAGCTAGAGAGAAACAAAACACACTAAATTCTCGAACAGGCTTATACACAAAGGAGTATACTCATGAGTGTCTAATAACAGAGTTCACACCAAACTTAAAAGCACAAAAACATTTTTTAAAATACAAAATAAACAACTGTTCTGTGGGATGGATTAGTAGGAAAAGATTCTCCTTAACTACTAACAGAAGAAAAATAAATTTGCAAAGTCACCTGTAAGTGTCCAAGTAAGACAAAAATGAATAAAGCAATAGAAGCAGACAACTACAAGCGGTACTGTTACTCTTATTAACGCCAAAAACAACTGCAACCACGAACATTCCTGAGCGCCACAGCGGGCTAAGTGCGTTATATTCAACACTCACAACAGTTCTATGAAGTGTTATTCACCACAGAATACACGGGGCAACTGAGACTTTGAAAGGTTGAGAAATTTCCCCACAATCACAATTCATTAAAGACGAGGATCAAACTCAGTCCTCATGCTGACCAACATACAAGTCTTGATGGAAAACCTCCAGTACCAGAGGTTGCTGTACCAGAAACATGAGCTGAGTTTTATCTGAAAAATGACAGGACAAGAAATGTGCCAGTGAGAATGGATTCACAGGCCACTCTCTTGACTCTTATGCCAAGCCCTATACTCCTACCACACGGCCTGACAGAAGTCAGGTTCTGCTTGTCAAGGACAATTGCAGTCAAATGACAAATCATCCTCCCCCTTACACGCACACTATCACACGTCATTGTTTTACTGTTTCCGTCTAAAAAGGAAAAGGCTACAAAAGAAAACTCTATTATAAAATGTTGGAAATCACACAATAATGGTGGCAGGCAAACAGACTGAATTTACACAAATGTGTAAGAAACGAAAAATGAAAATGACAGGCATACAATGAAAAAAGAAAGGAACAAAGAGAAAAAGGCACAGAGAAAGAGGACAAAAGACATTGTGGCCAGAGTATCATAGCTTTTTATCAGATTATAAACTTTTCAATTTTGGTGTTTTTATTAAAAACTTCTTAGAAAAAAATTAATTAACGTACCTACACAAAAAGAATGATACCCAAGAATATAATGTTAAGTGAAAAAAGTCAGAAACAATATTTTGGGATACAAACATGCTAGAACTACCAGGAAAGGGGAATTATAAATGTATAGTTTAAACGCGGAACGCTGGTGGCGCAGTGGTTAAGCGTTCCGCGGCTAACCAAAGGGTCAGCAGATGGAATCCACCAGCCGCTACCTGGACACCCTATGGGGAGTTCGAGATTGTCCTGTAGAGTCGCTATGAGTTTACCTCTGCGCGGCTCCTGAAGGTTACAGGATCAAGGAGGCGGCTTTCCAAAGCTATGTTATGTCCTATTTATCAAACTCCATAAGAGATCAACGATTGCTCCTTATTGCTTTCAAATATTTTTTCCGAATCTACCTAAATTCTAATAAAACCGTCTAAGCGCCGTTGGGGGGCTGTGGTGGCGGTCGTGGACGGAATGAAGACGGGCGTGAGCCCGCGCCGTCTCCACGGGCACAGAAGGCCCAGGGGTGTGGAGCCGTCGCGAACCCCCAATACACCCGCCGCTGAGCACCGAGCGTGAAAGGAAAGGCTTTTCCAGGAGCGAGCCGTGGTGGTTAAAAGCTCGGCTGCTGACCAAAGGTCAGCAGTTCAAATCCACCAGCCGCTCCTTAGAAACCCTGTGGGGCAGTTCTACTCAGCCCTACAGGGTCGCTGGGGTCGGAGCGGACGCCATGGCAACGGGCTGTATTTCGGTTTTCCCAGGAGTGGGCGGTGACACAGGGGAAGTTAGTGACACAGGAGGCGACACGGGAGCACTCAGACGCGGAACTCGGGGCCGAGCCTCCCCGCACCTCCCTACCCAGCTCGGCGCCGAGAATAGACAATCACTTCGCATCGTGCTCTCCCCGCGTTTCAGGGTCCACGGCGCCCGACACCGGCTCCCCGACACCGCCCTCCCCGCCTGTCCCATAGGACATTCCCCGGAACTCAGCAGGTTCGGAGGAGCCGGAGAGGACCCACCATGGTGACGTCCTCGTAGCCACACGGGCCCTCCGGGCTCTACACAGGGGCCACCTCACCCGACGGCAGCGGCTACACAGACCCTGGCGGTTCCTGCCAAAACGCACGTGGGACTGGAGAAGCCGGCGCGGCCCCGACCGGAAGAGGCGGGGCGAATGCGGCGCTCTAAAGCGTCCCGGGAAACGAGACCTAGTCTTTTCCGCCCCTGTTGGAACTTCAGTCCGCGGCCCTAAGGGCGCGGGGAAGGGAGTTTGTAGCCGTAGGGAGAACTTGGTGTGGAGTCCGGCGCCAAGCCTGGAGATTGAGCCAGACTTGCGGGCGCCCGTCACTCCCAGCCAGGCGCCTCCCGGCCTTGAGCTCGGACTGTGGACGTCTGCCCGAGGTGCACTGCAGAGCCGAACATCCTCAGCAGACGAGGGGCTCCCTTGCCAGGTGGCCCACCGTCGCAGGGAGGGCTGCTCGTGGTCGGCGGAGGTCGTGTGGCCGCAGCAGCCCGTGCGCTACTCGCCTGCACCGGGACAGTGTGTTCATTCAACAAATATTCAGGAATGCCTGTTGCATGCTAGGCGTTGGAGATGCTCAGACGATATCCTTGCTCTCATTCAGCTCATACTCCAGCGGTGCATGTGAAAAAAGTAAACATTTCAAATAGTGTAGATACTCTAAAGAAAAGAAAGCTGGTGAAGTGAGCAGGGGAATTGTTTTACACCTATGTCCTCTTTTCCGAGTGATAGTTGAGCAGAGACCTAAATGACACCAGGCAAGGGAAGAAGCTCCAGGCAGGGTGAGGTCGAGTGTTTTCAGGTGTGTGTCTGCGAGCACTTGTATTCAATCAACAAATATGTCCATTTTAAAACAAATGGATTCACTTCATAAACAAGAGGGGTGGGCAGATCGCTGAATCAAGGGAGGAGGCGTTTTCTCATGGCGTTTAAGTGTGTGAAAGTGCATTCTGTATGAAACAAGGCGATATACACTGTGCAGACACCGCTCTATTGAGAACTCCGTGTAATCCTAGCATTATATTCTAACCACTTCCTGCTAATCCTTCTGTCATGGATTAAATTGTGTCCCCTCAAAACGTGTCATGATTCCCAGTATTATGTGGTTGTCCTCCATTTTGTGATCCGACGTAATTGTCCTATGTGTTGTGAATCCTAACCTCTGCCGTGCTTGATGGGGCAAGATTAGGTTTTGTTAAAGAGGATTAGCGTGGGATGCAGCATCCTTACTCAGGTCACAGTGCTGATCCCTGGAAGGGGAGTTTCCCTGGGGTGTGGCCGCATCACCTTTTATATTATAAGAGATAAAAGGAAAGAGAAGCTTTTGAGCAGAGAGAGAGGGACCTCCTACCACCAAGAAAGAGGAGCCGGGAGATAAGCCACCCACCCTGCACTGAGAACCTCCTAGACCCAGGGGAAGATTGATGCCAAGACCAATGGAGATTTCCAAGGAACACGGGGCCCATAGATGTTGAAAGGAGACAAGGACCTTTCCCCAGAGCCGACAAAGAGAGAAAGCCTTCCCCAGGAGCTGGCACCTGGAATTTGGACTTCTAGCCTCCTAAACCAGGAGAGAATATGTTTGTGTTTGTTAAAGCCATCCACTTGAAGAATCTCTGTTATAGCAGCACTAGATAACTTTAAGACACCATCTTTCACTCACCATACCCCATTTCCTAAGTCCGGCCCAGTGCAAACCAACCTCCTGAATTATATGGTATTGCAGATCCAATAAGCACGGAATTCTTCAACCTTAGCCTCTTCAGCTTTTACTAATTGTTCTACTGATTTAAGTGCTTGGCTGGGGGCACTAAGTACCTGGCTGCTAACCAAAAGGTCTACAGTTCAAACCCACCAGCCACTCTGTAGGAGAAAGATGTGGCAGTCTGCTTCCATAAACATTACAGCCTTAGAAACCCTATGGGGGCAGTTCTCCTCTGCTCTATAGAATCTCTATGAGTCGGAATGAACTCCATGGCAACTGGTTTTACTGATTAAAAAACCACTACCTTCCCCACCCCTTTTCTAAATTTCAAATTGCCAACAACTAAATAAGCCATATACCAGTATTCAGATTTATTTTTCCTTTTATTTTGGTTTTTAAAATAGAAGACTTTGTATTTTTTCTATTCAGATACAGCCCCTAAATATGAAGGACAAGGCACCATGTTCAACATATACTGTTAACAAATGCAAAAATGAATTACACAACGTAATACCAAAGGAACAATAACGACTAATTTCTTATCATTTAATGTGTAAATGCACTCCCTGTGATAAGCAGAATAAAGCCCTCCGTTCCTCCTGTTCAGTTTAACTCCCCTCCTCTAAACAACTGTAGATGATTTTGTCTATATCCTTTTAGAGATATTTTCCTGTGCTTTAACAAATATACTGCATATGGCTGTGTGTGTGTGTGTGTGTGTGTGTGTGTGTGTAAGGGTTAAGTATTAACACTAGAAACTGATAAGAGTACATGCTATAATTTCAAGAGTAGCCATTAAAAGAATAAAAGCAGAGTACATAGCTTCCAAAGAAGCAGAGGAAAAAAATTGAATCATAAAAATACTCTGTTAATGCAAAACAAGGAAATAAAGGGGTGATTTAGGAGATTAAAATTGGATTTATTACTCCCTGTCCTTGAGTGTAAGAATGTGACCCAGCTGAAGCTGGACTCACAAGGACTCTGAAGGACACATCAACTGGGCCCTGAGATATGAAAATAATAGCTAGGACAATCTTGGAAAACATCTTTTAGGGAAACTGACATAAACAAAATTATAAACAGAGCCCGTACAAATGGACAAATGAAGACCCTCCTGACTATCAATACTGAAACCTGTACCAAAGATTATTAAGAAAGAGGATTCAAAATGTAGAATCACGGTGATTTAGCAGTTTTTAGTCAATCCGTGAAAAGGTGAAGCTTTCAATGATTTTACCTGTTTATAATGTTAATACAGCCCTGGTGGTGTAGCGGTTAAGAGCTATGGCTGCTAACCAAAAGGTCGGCAGCTTAAATCCAGCAGGTGCTTCTTGGAAACCCTGTGGGGCAGTTGTACTCTGTCCTATAGGGTCTCTATGAGTCGGACTTGACATCAATGGGTTTGTTTCGTTTTTTGTAATGTTACTATATACCGATGATTCTGTAACATTCCTCGGGCTTGGACGGACATGGCTCTGGCAGCATGCTTGTCTGTTTCTCACTTTTCCCTCTTTGAATATATGCCAAATAAAATCTTCCTTTTAACTTTATTATAACTTTGTGGTGATTTTACCTTAGGATGGGGGGAAGAAGAAACAGTATCGAAACAGTAGTAAAAATTTAAAAAAAAAATATATATTGATAGATTTAATCCCAAATAAAATGATAATATTGGACTAAGGGACCCAATTAAAAAACAAATATATCAGACTCGGTTTTAAAAATCCAGCTATAACCCATTTATAAGAGACACATCTAAAATAAAAATAAAACATGAAAGGCAGTGTTATGGATTGAATTATGTCCTCAAAAAATATGTGTTGTAAATCCTAACCCCTATGCTGGTGGCGCAGTGGTTAAGCACTTGACTGCTAACTGAAAGGCTGGTGGTTTCAACCCACCAGCCGCTCTGAGGGAGAGAGATGTGGCAGTCGGCTTCCGTAAGGATTACAGCCTTGGAAACACTATGGGGCAGTACTGTCCTGTCTTATAGGGCTACTATGGGTCAGAATTGACTCCAGGGCAACAAGTTTGGTGTAGTTTAACACCTGTGGTTATAATCTTGTTTGGGAATGGATTTTCTGTGATACGTTAATGAGACAGTATTAGTGTAGGGTGTGTCTCAAGTCAATTTCTTTTGAGAGCTAGAAGAGATTAAACAAGCTAGCAAGTAAGCAGAAATGGGGGAGGAGAGATGCCAAGCCACGTGAAGATCTTCCAGGAGCAGAAGCTCAAAGAGACAAAGACCTTCCTCCAGAGCCCACAGAGAGAGGAAGCCTTCCCCTAGAGCCAATGCCCAGAATTCGGACTTCTAGCCTCCTAAACTGTGAGAAAATAAATTTCTATTTGTTAAAGCCATACATTTGGGTATTTCTGTTATGGCAGCACTAGATAACTGAAACGGTATGCTAAGCACCTGTAACCCAAAGAATGCTGGTATAGATACAGTAATCTCATAAAAAACAGACCACAGATCAAAGGTATTACTAGAGATTGGAAAGGTTGCATCATAATGATCAAAGACTCTATTTTAAATGTATATGTATCTACATTTAACCAAATGGAAGAAATGATGAAGTAAAAGAGCTGAACAGAAAATTTTTGGCCCATAGAATCCTTCAAAACTGCAACTCAAGCTCGAATTTTTTATTCAGTTCTTTCAGCTTGAGAACTGCTGAGCATGTTCTTCGCTTTTGGTTTTCTATCTCCAGCTCTTTGCACATGTCACTATAATACTTTACTTTGTCTTCTCGAGCCGCCCTTTGAAATCTTCTGTTCAGTTCTTTTACTTCATCATTTCTTCCTTTTGCTTTAGCTACTTGA